CACGCAGTAGAGGCACATGCTTTCTACGACAACTTCCTGGAAACATTGATGACCCCTGGCATGTTGCTGACATGTCAGCAGGAAGGCAGGTTGACGTTCACAGCTATTTAAGCATGGCAGATTAAGGCCACAACTAGGGAGCCGGTTAGGGGGTGGGGGGGGATGAACACAAGACAAAGAGTCGCAGTTTTTGCCACAGACGCTGGCAATGACCATCCCTTCATAGTGTTTGGAGCAGAGACTATGCACTGTGCATGCTAACCAAACTGTGGCTGTGTGGCCACAGAATGGAAGGGCACAACCAACATCTGCTAAGGAGGTTCTTTCATTGTCTGGAGCAGAGTCTGCCCGATCTACACAAGGAGGGGACACTGCTTGGTCATGTGCAGGGGAAGGAGGTAATTGCACATCCGGATTGCTCTCCAAAGACTGAAGCGCTTGCGGGTGCGAAGTAACATAGTGTTCCTGAATGACAATCCAAATTGAGTGAGTATTGGCTACTTGGTTATAGAAAGAGTTAATAGCACTTACCGTGTGCACCCTACCTCTATTGTGCCATACGGCCCGTGAATTGTTTGTAAAGGTCACAACGCTGAAATATCCTGGTCGATGCAGGATGTACACGCAAATATTTGAGTTCATGTCTGGCATGTGGTTTTGGGGAGCAGGCTGCAGTTGTAGTCTTCTACCCATAAATGCCATAAACAAGACTTCTATGTTCACTCCAGGACCAGTACTGTCATCCTCTGGGCAGACAGCACGATGCTCTTTTTCCATCCAACGGACAATATCAGCAAAATCAGGGTTAAAATTGAAAGCAAGGAGACTTACATTGACAGCATAGTACGCACAATAGCCTCGCTGCAGCACTATGAGATCATATGACTCTGCTGGTCGGGCGGAAGAATAAGCAAAAGAAGGGGAGGAAGAAGAAGCAACAAAGGAGGAGTTAGATGACTGGGGGGATGATGTAGAAGAAGATGTCAGAGGGGAGGGTGGTGGCGATGATGATGGGGATGATGATGACGGTGGCGGTGGTGGTGGGGATACTGGTGGTGGTGGCAGTGGTGGGGAGGAGGAGGTGGTAGTGGTGATGATGGTGGTGGAGGAGGAAGTGGTGATGGTGGTGGTAGTGGTGGTGATGGCGACAGTGACGAGGGAGGCACCATTTTGGCAAAAAATAGCCGCATTGGTAGGATGCCGGCCTTCATCCCCGACATCAACCTCAGCAGCGTACACATTACTTGTTGCTGTTGGACCATTCTCTGGCTGGGCTGGCGTATCCACATTGGCTTTTACCAGTTCAGCAGGAGTAACAGGAGGGGGTAGACCCGCTGTGTTGTGCTGTGTGGAGGGCTGATGTAGCCTGCAGCCATAATTGGTGTTCGGGAGTGGGTAATGGTCTGCTGCATGTGGTCGGGAGGAGGCTCTGTATGCCGAGTATGCATTTGGCAGTGGGTGAGCAATGGCCCAGCGTACCATACGACGAAACCAGTTCGCGAGCCATTTGACATGAGTTGGTAGCCGACGCTGCCGGCCATGCACATATGTCATCCAGCCTTTGGCTAGGACACTAGGAGGATGGCCCCTTGAAAGCATACGTCGCGTCAAGGAAGTCACTGCCGCTTTGAAGTCGCTAGTATTATTACAAACATGTTTGAATCTCGTTAGTTGTCTTTAAGTACCCCTGCAGGCTGATGACCTGGGGCATTGGAGGATGCATTGGGATGATGTATGACAGGGAATGTCCAAGCCTCGGCCTTATCAAATACACCTATGCGAAGCGAGCCATCTAACCACACTTGGATTCTTGGCCCAAGGAAAAGACATGAGCCATCTTGCTTGGTAGTGTCTTTCCACTCAAGCCCGTACCCAGTAGGAGGGGTTGGGGATGTCTGCCAGGATAAAATGTCATCGATGAACCGAAATGTGAATGCATATGCTTGCGCCCCGTGCAGGTCTTGCTGACGAAGTTCATCGACGAACTGTGCTTCTTCCCAGTAGAGCGTTAGGTTGGTAATTTTTGGACCAGCATTAGTGCCCATAGGGATACCGACCACTTGATGGCGGAGAGTGCCATCTGTTGTATATAGATAAGTATTTAAGACTACAAACCGCAGATGCTGTTCAATTTGTTGTACTGAAAGAGAGTGTCTGTGCTATGTGAAGTAACAGTCATGTACATTTCTCTTGGCCTTCCGCCCTGTGGGATCAGCGTCAAAGCATAGTCATGTGCTTCACGAACAGCATTTGGGACATTATTAAGTATCCGGTCGTGCGGCAGGTTCGTGAACATTGTTGAAAAGTCCGTTGTGTGTGGCGTAGAACCTCGAAGGGACTGTGCATTCTTCTTGAGATCCGAAACGACTTCCTTAGCACTTTGTACGATCCAGCAATGACGCGCACCACTTTCTCGGTAAAGCTCATTGTCCTTGTTGTGCAAAGATTTGATCACACCTGGAAGGGCATAGCTAAGTGAGCGAGAGGCCATTGTTGGGGCTCATGCCGGGGCCTGTTATGCAGGTCTGAGACAGAGGGTCGACGGGATGTTGAACGAGCGACAGATTGGGAAAGATTGTTTCGTTGTGTTAACTCCAAGAATTGGACGAAGAGCGGGTGGGAAAGATTGTTTCGTTGTGTAACTCCAAGAATTGGACGAAGAGCGGGTGGGGATTTATGTGCTTTGAGTGCCAAATGGAGGTAAGGTAGGGTATCAGTATGTCAATAGCCCCAATGATCATTGAAAAGCACATGCTGATCGAGGATGCTGGCCACAGAATCCGACGCTTGATCGTAGGTGGAACTGTCAAGATGCTGTGATAACTTATATGCGTACCAACGTTTGCAGCAAATTGCCATATTGTGTGATGTTTTGTCAACAGGTACAATGGCGAAGTGCTGCTGTAGCTTCTTCAAAGATGTATTGGCGATCCGTGAGGCAACCTAAGTACACACCTGGTACGGGTAAAAGGGCCTTTACCCGATATAGGCCTCAGGCCTTGTAAAAATAAAGCAGCACGGGCCTTGAAAAAGTAAAGCATTGTGAAAAGGTATCTCGC